TTTTTTTGTGGTACTGGGGACTGCCAGGGCTTCATGCACAATAGGCAAGAGCTCTACACTGAGTCACACCCCTAGTACCAATGATAAATATTTAATTTTGTTAACATTAAAAAAAATAGCTTTAAAAAATGAAAGATGTTACTGCAAGCTAGAGAAATAAGGTTAGTAACATACCAAGTTGGTTACAGAGAAGTTAGCTAATAACACAGCATGATTTCGACTGATTGACTGATCATCTTCAATTAGAATGGCACAGTTTTTCCTTCCAACAATGTACTCAACACCAGTCAAAAGTCTGTATGGTTCTCCTAAGAGAAAGCAATATAAATTAAAAAATAAAAAGATACAAGTAAACTGAACACACATATATATAACAAATACATGAATATGTACTATATATATGATACAGGCATGACAAAATTTAAATAAAGCACTCTTTGTTTGCTATTTAAATGCTAAACAACTTTATATGTAGCAAGTGTGTGTTTTCTGTAAAGCCTCACAGAAGGATACAAAAGAGTAGCTAAATAGATGGAAGGCTATTATCATTTTTCTAAACAGAAAACAATGTTAACATAAATTTTAATGTATTACCACTGAAATTACATTTTGTTTGGAACTTAATTAAATGGATTCAAAAATTTACTAGGAAAATGTATTCAAGAAAATTGTGAATAGTATTATAGGAATCTGCCCTACCAGATGGCAAAAAGTAAAGGTATGGTAGTAAACTGGAAGTAAACAATACAGACAGATGCAACAATCTATTTTGGGGAGTTGTGTTTCAATGTTAAAGTTAGCGTTTCAAATCATGGGAAATGGTTAATTTTTTTTAAGTTCCAAATCATAAACTGTTGGAGTAACAACATACATGCTGGAGAATTTGGGACTACCTTTCCAGAATGGTAAGGGGAGTAGGGCAGATGAACTAGGTGAGTTGGAAAGGAGTCCAGGAAGGCCTTTTTAAGCAGTTCAGATTTCATCCTGTTAATAGAATTTTTTAAATTTGTTTTATTCTAATTTGGAGATAAGATCACACTATATTGCCTAGGCTAGACTCAAACTCATGATCCTCCTTCCTCAGCCTCCCAAGTAGCTGGGATTACAAGAGTGGCTCAGCTTGCCCAATTCATCAGATTGTGAACCTGGACAGTTTCAAGTAAAAAACTGTTAGTTTACCACACAACACAAAGATGACTGGGGTCTCAGTCCATAACCTCTGTTTGATTCTGAAAAGTTTCTGACTACGTAAATGAATCCTAGCCACTGATGGTAGAAGCATATTCCTTTTGCTATCATCTATTAAACTGAGGCTTAAATCTACTTCCCCAAGTAGTGAACTACACTCTAAGAGTATATTGTATTTTTCCCCTACTTGTTAAACAGGTTATTGCTATGTAGCCCAGTCCAGCCTCAAATTCCCAAACTACTGCCTTAGCCTCCATAGTGCTGGGATTACAGGTTTGCCCGATCAGGCCTGGCAAGATAATACTCTTGTGACTTTATAGGTATTCACTGATCACAGGATGTCAGCTGATGAGACATACCTTATGCACTTGCTGTAAATGAGTCATCATACTATGCCCAAATAAGGCAACTGCTGAGGTGGAACTAATCAAGCTGTTTCTGTACATGACTTCTTTTCTTCTGTCTATAAATATTGCCTGGCCAAGGTGTTGGGTGCAGCTTTCTTGAACCTCTACTAGTTCATTTGTCGGAAGGTTTTTTCTTTTTTCTCTTTTGTTTCTTTCTTGTGTGTGTGTGTGTGTGTGTGTGTGTGGTGATGGGGTTTGAACTCCACCAGGCTTTTTTGTGTTGGGCATTTTTCAAGATGGGGTCTTATGAACTATCTGCCCGTGGATGGCTTCAAACCTGGATCCTCCTGATCTCTGCCTCCTGAGTAGCTAGGATTATTGGCATGAGCTACCAGTGCTCAATTTAAGGTTTTCTTTTAACAAACCTACAGGAACTCCAAGAGGCAGGCCCCGTCAACTGTTTTCTCAAGTGAACAAAATCCTACCTTCCCACCAAACAAAATTTAGGTTTTACCTTTGTCTTTGAGTCTTTTTGTGTGTTTTTCTCCATCTTCTCTTATATCATCTATCAATCTAGCCTCTTTCCCTTATTTTTTTTTCCTCCCCAATCATAATGTAAACTTCTTGAGGACAGGACCCATTCACAGATAACCCACTTACTCTTCTATCTTCTAATAGTGACCACACATAGGGTGGCAACTAATTAACATGTGAAAACCACTTTCTACTGCTGGAAGTGCAGAAAAGGGAGGAAACAATCAGCTTTTTCCGTTGACTTGATACTATCGGGGAAAGATCTGAAAGAAAATTAGCTTTCCAGCGGTGCCTGCCACGTGGCTGTTCACAAGAGGAAACCATACGCCACAGACAGCGCCATCCTGCGGTCTGGCCGGGATGACTTCACTGTGGGTGTTCCCTAAAAGGGTGAAGGGCGAGATGTCACAGCTGGTAGGCCACCGTGCTCCCTGGGCAGACCATCCCTCTGGTCCACCCTAGGGGAAACCCGGAGCGAGGAGGGGCGCCTGAAGTCACCGCCCACGCCCCCACCCTGGAGTGACCCGCGACTCCCAGACACCAAGTTCCGGTCCCGCGTGCGCTCGCACCGACCCTCCGGGTGGGACCGCCGGCGGCGCCGGAAGGCGGTGCCAACGGACCGGAAGCAGCCTCCTCGGACTCTCCCGCGACAGCTGCTCCCGGGAAAACCGGGCCCCGTAGTCTCCTTTCTGCCCTTACCTCGGGCCGGGCCCGCAGCGGGAAGCAGCTTCCACATGGGTTCGGCACCTCAACACCCCGGCCAGAGCAAGGGTGCGCAGCCACAGATGTCCGACATACACGGCCACAGCACCGGCTACTCGCGCGGGCTCGGGACGTGCGCGCTCCCTGCAGCCGCGCAAGTCCGCTGGAAACCCGGGGATGAGGGCGGGGTTGGATGTGGGCGCCTGGTCGCCACCTAGTGGCGAGGAGAGGAACAGCGCAGTACATGTTGTGCTTGAGGACAGACCTGGCTTTCTTTAATCTTTGATTCACGGGATATAAGATTATTGCTTTCTCTTACTGTGATGGGAGAGAATGTTACGAATTAGCTCCAAATCCATGTAGGTTTTGATTAGTTATATAGTTACATGCATTTACAGTGCTTTAAACTGTAGTCATTCCTTTGTAGTAGTGATAACGGTGAAGATAAGCGACTCATCCAAAGTCAGTTTATTATATTTAAACTTTTCCACGTTTAAGTCAACTTCTAGCTTCTCCGTTTTATCGGGTTACACTTTGATCTGACCACGTTCTAAGTACTGAAGAGTCTACTTTCTGTATCCACCTGTCTGTGGCCCTGAGACATCACCACCCACCTCTCATACACTGCTACGTAAACCCCTGAGAGCACATTTCTGGACACATTTCTGGTGGACAAAATCAAGCTATAATAGGGGAATAAATCATTGCAAAAGTCTGGATGGCTAGTCTCTGTTATCACCATAGATGCAAAAACCTTAAACACAAGACTAACAGGTGAAATCAAATGGTATTATTAAAAGAACAATTAGCTGGGCATGATAGTATATACCTATAATCTTATGTATATGAGGAGACCTGGGAGAAAAGTGGAAGACCATATTTGAAGAATAAAACAAAGAAAGGGCTGAGAGCAGTAAAGCGCCTGTCTAGCGGTAAGGCCCTGAGTTCAGACTCCAGTACCACCAAAACAGTAAATACATAAATAGGACAAAGTGGGGTTTATGCCCAAAACAGAAAGTATATGTTAATATTTTTGTGAAGAAAATGTAACTCATCACAATTTTTAAAGCTGAAACATCATAATGTGTTTCAATAGTTGCAGATAAAGCATTTGATAAAATTCAACACCTACTCATGATAAAAATTCTTTACAAAATAAGAATAGAGGAAGCATCCTTGGTCAAGGACATCTGTGAAAAACTGCACTTCAACTATACTTAAGGTAAGTTATCGGACATTTGACCTGGACATCCGGAATGAAATAAGAATACATCTGTTCTTATCACTTGTTTTCAGTGTGGTAGCAAATACTCTAGCCAAAAATAAAGGAGATAAAAGAAACAGACTGCTAAGAAAAAAATAGCACTGTCATTCATCAATGGCATAATTGTGTATATTGAAATGTAAGAGGCTACTGGTAAACTTTTAATTAGTAATTGAATTTAATAATGTCAGTGGATGAAATGTCTAGATACAACATTTAATTGTATACCTTTATTTCGGAAATAAATAGAAAATGACATAAATATAAAATATGTAATATAATAGTATCGAGAATCATCAAATACTTAGTAATAAACCTATCAAAAGATGTGATTCAAAACTATATTGACTACAAAATATGATTGACAGAAATGTTTTGAATTTTGGATTAGTTCAGATTTGGGGATGTTTGTACGCACATAATGACATATTGAGGGATGGGACCCAATTACAAACACAAATATGCACATAGCCTGAGGTAATTTTATATAATATTTTTTTTTAAAGTTTCAGTGCTGGGAATTGAACCTAGGACCTCACGCATGTTGAGCACACACTCTACCTCTGAGATACACCTCTAGCTTCAGTAATTTTACCACGAAACAAAGTTTCATGGAATCCAAAGATTTTGGATTTTGGAGAATTTCCAATTTTGGATTTTCAGTTTAGGAATGCTCAACCTATGTTGTGACAAGGCTAGGTAGGAGAAACAACATAGTCTTGGGCCACTTTGTAAAT